CAGAAACCATGATTTCCATCTCAATAGAAGATGTTTGATGCTCAATGAAAATGTTATAACGTTCAACTAACGAACCTTACAATTTTTATATTAATGCGCATTTTGTAAGTTGCATATGCTCATTTGCTACTGATTTATGCTCATTTGTAAAATGTCATATCAATGCATATTTCAAAAGTATCATATCACATTAAATTCTCATATTAAAATTCATAAGTATTGTTTATACATATAATTTAATAAGTTTTATAAAAGAAAAAAAAGTAAAATAGAAGATATGAAGTAGAGATCATGATATTCATCGTTAACCTCCTAATACTCAATAAAATAGGTCAGATGGTCACTAAAAGTAAACTATTATCCATTTAGCGGAAGTCATGATTTATCGTTTAAATTACAAAAATGCCATCAATTTTTTTTGGGTTGTATTAGTTTTTGGGTTGTCTTCCTTAGTGTTGGGCCGGGTGTACATACACCCAGATGTATGATATAGACACCAAACTTTTGATACCAATCACTTTTTAAAAATCAATTTTAATAAGCAATTTTTTAAAGTAGAAACAAACACACTAAGTCTGTTTAAAATCCATTTAATTATAGGGCTGTGTTCAGTAAAACACTAAGCAATTTCTCTTAGTTCTTTGGGATTTTTTCAGAACAAGACTAAACAGTGAAAATAATATCACTTTTTTCAACTTTGCCTTCTTTTTCAAACATAGACTTATTATGTTTTGTATTTCAATAATAGACATCAATACGGGGTAACGGAGAGCAGTAGCACTACATCGTAAGTCTCCAATTACGATAGTAGATTAGGATACTCTACACTAAACTCCACAATTGTAGCGTAAAGTTTTAAAATTGGGATTTTTCATAATAAGTGTAAAACTGCAAATTTATCAAACAAAAAAATTCATTTAAAGTTGAAAAAAATGATACCTATAAGAAAAATATTAAAAATCAAAAAATTAAATTAAACAAGAAACTCTCAAAGTAAAAAATATTTATAAATGAAAAATTAGAAAATAATGTAGATTTCAACAAAAAGGATTTTCCTTTTTAAATATATTATAAAAATGTAAAATCCAACATAAAAATATAAAACCTTTTAAATAGTTAAATGTGGATAAGTTTTTTAAATCACAAAATAAGAGTTTGTAATGATTGTTTAATTAGTTAAATTAATTCATATAAACTATCAAAAATATTAAAAGTTTTGAAAATTAAAATTTTAAAAAATCTAAAAAAATGAAAAATTAGTCAAAATGCAAAACAAGATCAAATTGTTTTGAAATTATTCAAAAAAGAGAATTAATAAAAAATATGAAATAGTAATTTTTTAAAAAATTGAAATATATAGAAAACAAAGGTAACTAAAAAATCAACATTTAAAAGTTGAATACATTCATGAAATTCAAATTTAATTTAATATAATAAAACAAAAGAAGAAAATATGATTCATGATTTTTATAAAACCAGAAAACAAATCCAATCTAAAAGGTGTGTAAATATCATAAAATAAAATAAAAAAACAAATTTAAAATTAAAATAAAGAACATGTAAAAAACTTTAAAATTGAAAAATGGATTTTTAATTTAGTTTTTAAAATATTTGATAATTGTAAATATTACCATTATCATTTATTGCTAATTTTTGTACTTTTGTTGCATATGGTTTCTTTGTGTTTCTTTTTGTTGATAACTTTAAATTTTTTATCGTTTCTTTGTGTTTCTTGTTGTTTTATATATTCATACGTACAAATTTATCATTTTAGACGTTTAAATGTGTATGTGTGTGTATATATATTTACAATGTACGCTTTATTATTATTAATAAGAGGATCAAATACATAAAAGTGAGTGGGACAAAAGCCTTGCCTCACAAAAACGTTAGTTGAGATAAAGTTTAGAAATAAATTACATACGGAATACTGAGTTTCTCTAATGCGATTTCATCACTTTTAATATCTCTGGTGAGGTCATAATAGGAGTAGAAAGTCATCCCTGATCGTCCCGTGGCTGATAAAGTTATTAAGAGTCCAGTCTTGGATTCAGCTACTTTGTGACCGATAAAGTGGCTAAGAGTCCAGCCTTGGATTCAGCTGCTTTGTGACCGATAAAGTGGCTGAGAGTCCAGCCTTGGATTAGACTACTTTGTGGATTACATTAACCTTTGGAATGCTTCGCAACCAACTCCTATCATTCACGAGGCTGAAATTATTAGAGCACAAGAAGTCCAGAACTGAATTAGAAGTGACATCAATCTCCATTCTAGCAAAACCAGTATTAGCATACCAATTAATGACCTCCTGTAGAGCATAGTAAGATTAATGAGTACTCTGTATCAATTTGCACAGGTAGCTGCAATGTTCCCACTGAAACCATATCTCCGAGTGAGTTTTGAAAAATGAAACATGTTGTCTTATGTTTTCTTTGAATATCCAGATTTAGCTTGAACATAGCACTACCCTGTTTCTGCCCGATAACAATAGGAGATTTTGGCAGACGGATTTTTTTCTAGAAGAATGCAATAATGCATAGTTCTCTAACATAAGTTGATAAGCACATATCAAAAAACAGTAAAAATAAAAATCAATAATTAGCAACACGACGCAACAAAAAGTAACATGTTGCAACATGATGCAACAAAAATAATGCAACAAAAAGCAACACAAACTTATAATTAATACTATGTATCATGTTTCTCCAATAACCAATTTTGTAACTTTTTTCTTTAATAACCAAGCTGAATTCTATACAAAAGTTGAGTAGAGAGTAGTGGTCAACAATGAACAACATGATGCAACAAAAAGAAACAAAAGGCAACACGATGCAACAAAAGACATGCACGATACAACAAAAAGGAACAAAAAGCAACATCTAAAACACAAGGTATTTAACAATGATCCATCTGCTACTTTTGAGTCAGACTTGCTCATACACCAAGCAAACATATATCGTGTAAATTTATTAATAATGTGACCTGAAATGTTTAAATCCCTAGTGCTCTCCCTCCTCAAACATGTCACTATATGCTTTCCATAAATAACATATAATAATACCTGGGGTTAACATTTTATACAAATCATCCAACACACATGTATTTCCTTATAGCCACCACACTAAGCATGCCTCCCTAACTGTTGCAACCAACTTAAATCCATCCAAGAGCAGTAGACCTAAGTGCTGACATACACATCTAGCATTTGCACAAAGGTAAAAGATATGGTGTCATAGTTGCATTGTTAGTGTAACAGAAAGGGCAAACCGAAGGGAAGGAACTGTATATACTAGCCAAAACTTCAGGTATGGGCAAACATCCAAACCAAATCTTCCGTAAGAATAGACAATTCCATAGTGGTCGTGTAGAGGCTCAAACAGAGGATATAGAAAGTGTAAAACCTTCAGAGCATAAAGAGAGTTATATTATATGTACAAAGAAGTAACAAAGATAAGCACATATCCAAAAACAGTAAAAATAAAAAACAATAATTAGCAACATGACACAACAAAAAGTAACATTTTGCAACATGATGCAACAAAAATAATGCAACAAAAAGCAACACAAACTTATATTTAATACTATGTATCATGTTTCTCCAATAACCTGTAACTTTTTTCTTCAATAACCAAGCTGAATTTTATACAAAAGTTGAGTAGAGAGTAGTGGTCAACAATGAACAACATGATGCAACAAAAAGAAACAAAAGGCAACACGATGCAACAAAAGACATGCACGATACAACAAAAAGGAACAAAAAGCAACATCTAAAACACAAGGTATTTAACAATATATCTAGAGGAACATTAATGGTTTCAGAAATAGTTTCATTTCAACGCATGACTTGATAGTAGAAAGTATTTTACATAACAGAGTTCAAACTGCTAGAAGCTACTATTGCACGCAATTGAATATCAATGGTGTAAATGAAAACTAAAAGCATAAGTCATTAAAACATCATAAAATTAGACATTAACAAACAGTAATTGAAAGCACGTGCAATATCATACATTGTTGATTGTTCATAAAAAAGATTTGCGGAGACATGTATGCATATTTTGAAAAATAATAACAACAAATCAGGATATAAAATAAAGCAAATTAAATTAGAGAGAGAACATGAGTGGAAAGGAAAAAACAGAAGTCAAAAGAAGAATCTGAATCACAACTCAAGCTAATATAGAAAATAATCCATGGCTTCTAAATTTAAAATCATAACAGAAAGCGAATTATAATAATTGAGATGAACAGATTTAATGTTTTCGAATCAAGCACTTTCAGGACATAGATTATAATACAATACAACTTAGCAAATTTAGACTTTTGAATTACAAGTTTACAAATCAACATATTAATGTGAGATGACCTTTACAAAATTAGGTCAGAAACCTAAGAGGTCAGAATTTAAGCCAGAGGTAGATCCGTAGATGGGGTCAAATTAAGGAGAAATGAATAAATTACCTTTTGCTAGAATTCGTTCATCAGCGACCATACTTGGAGCAGTGCGGCGAGCATGGCTATGATATTTAGGATAAAAGAGGCGACTGGCGGGTTGACGTCACAGGTTGGGACGATTAGGGACCGTGGCGAGTTAACGTCGATTCTTCACAAAGCCGATACGGGAATCGATCGAAGGATTTCATAGAGGCTAGCTAGAGGCTGAGGATTGAAGAAAAGAGAGAATGGAGATCGAGCGTTTGAGAATGGAGGAGGGAGAGGTTGGAAGAGAAGAGCATGAGAAGAGGAGATTTTTTTCGCTGGGTCCGAAGTGCGGCGATTGATACGGAGGGATCCGAAAAGTAGTCTAAAAGTGAAATAAAAAACAGAAACTGAAAATATAAAAGTTAAAAATGAAAAGAAAAAGTAATTGGGTGATAAATGATATTCTAACGCCAATAGTTCTTTGTGGTTGCCACAGGCCCAGTCCAGGGGTGCCAACCCAATGGCACAGGCCCTAAATATATTGAAGGTCGAAAAAATATATTACTATTAGGCAGCTGCCAGCCCAAAGACAGGCCCCTGCTCTGCGCTGCACGACTAGCTGAAAGGAGTTCAAGCAACAAGAGAGAGACGCCCATTTGGCGATAAGGCAATCCGCAATCGGCAACTAGCTCTGCCACCTCTGCAAGCGACAAAGGGAAGACCGTCGACCGACGAAGCCTCGATCGCCGCCAGGCCCGCCACCGCGCCCCCGCGCCCGTAGCCTCGCACCGTCGCACGGCTCGCTACCTGGCTGTGCCTGAGTGCCTGAGTCGCTGTCTCCGTATCTCGCACTCTAGCTGAAGACTGAAGTGCCTTTCCCCCTGGTAAGAATTGGTTTCCTGACTTTTCTTTTTTAAATTACAATTGACAAATTAGGTTGTTGTTTATTCAATCAATTGACCAATAATATCTTTTAATAGGAAATTATTTTGAATATGAAAATTATATCAAAATGTTCTATTTTCAAAATATTTTCATAAAATTATAAAACTTATAAGTTTTATATAAATATAGTAATTAAAATCATCGTACAAAGTTCAAAGTTCGTTACCATTTGATACAAGTATCAAGTATGTTATTGGGTTTCTGGGTTTACTTTACAATAATATTTCTTAGCCCAAAATTTAAATTGAATTTTTAACTTAAATCTGTAAACATGTACTGGATTAGTGGAGGATTTCAACAATGAGTAGTAATTATGTTTTCAAAGAAATACCCATCCGGGTATGGAAAACTTAAATAGAAAAGACGACTTGAAAAGTTAACCTTGTCTCAGGAGCTCTTGACAACTTTCCATCCGGGTATGGTCTCTTTTTAAAATATTAGAATTTTTTTAAGCAAAGACAGGATTTTATTAAATGAGAGTTGTGTAGAGAATTATTTACCACAAAAGTTCTGTCTATACAGACAATATACTCACACCGTCCCAAATTGTAAGGGCTGTGGTGAATAACAAGACTTGGATTCACATTAGAGTTATGTTTACCAAAGTTACATTCGACTTAGTACTCGGTCCCACTATGTCTGTTTCATGTCTTCATTTTGGTCCGCCTGAAAGTATTTGTTCAAAATACAAACGTTCCAATACCATTTGAACATACTTATGTGGCTCAAAATTCGATACCAATTTTGAAATTCCATTTTTCATAATTTCCATGTCAATTTCTATGTCCCAAACTTAGAGCACGTTTGGTGACTCCGTTGTCGACTACCAAAAACATCATTTTTGATTTCGTGCTCTGAATTGTGTAAAAATAAGAAAAAGGAAGGTTGGAGTTTTTTATCTGGCTGTATTGGCTGATGTTATTGTAGATGACCATTTTAGGTATTTTTCATATAATTTTTTCTTTATATTATTAATAAAATATATTTTAATTTAATTTTTTCATAAATCAGCACAATCATCCAATACAGCCACTTTGCCAGAACTTCATAAATTTCAGCAGAATCAGTCAATTCAGCCAATTTCAGTGTTACCAAACGGGCTCTTAGTGGGTCAAAGGAAGAACTAAATTTAAATTTTACATATTTAAAAGCATACTAAAAGTTCTAAAAAGAAGATAAGAAAAACAAGTTGAGTTAACACAACAGTGTTTAGTTACTGGTACAAATAAAATTAGATAGGTGCTTTGTGGTTTCCAATAATAAACCCAAACTTTAAAATTTATCCCGCCCAAAGAATGGAGGGGTTAAAACAAGCTAACAGCTTGTGCTCTTCAAACTAAACTAAATTTCACCAACTATACATTTTATTGGAAACAGCACAAGACTAGTAATCAGGGAGCAAATTTGACACATGTTTTAGAATTCAACAATTGCTTTTTTACTGCATTATTCTTGTATCTTTGTTAATCTTTCTCATGTTGAAGCCAATGTGCACACACACATACACACATTTATGTCTAGCAATTTAACTGGTCATGCTTCATTACTTGCATATTGATTTTGCAATATCAATCATATAATGGACATGACAATAGGTCTATAGCAAATATTTCAACTTTTAGTCATATGGGGTAGTGTGGCACCATCCAAGCCACTCATTTTTAGTAGGGCACCCCATTGAAAATATGAGTGGCTAAGATGGTGCCACACTACCCCATATGACTCCATAAGGGAGTCATATGAGGCTCAATCAATTTACTCCTTTTAATCATCTCATGATGTTCTCTATGCATTTTAAAACAACCTGTGAGGCTGTGATGCTAACAGTTTTAAAACTTTCATCTCATTATATTTCTTCTTAGGGGAGTTGCGATGGGAAGGGCATCCCTTTTAATACACAATCACTGTGCTTTGTGCATAAATTTATCATGTAGATTGATTGTGTACATTAATTAGCTGCTGCAAATTTAATGCCATTGACCCTAACTAGTTAGGATTAAGGTAATAATAACGAATGAATAAATTATGGATAGCAGTTTGATGTTAATGTTTATCCACCATTCACTGAAAAAAAAAATAATTGCCTTTCTACCTCCCTTTTTCCCTTTCTGCATTCTCTCATTCTGATGTTTGATTCTCTGCTATGAACCCATGAGTTTTGTTTTGTTTGGTGTTGTCTCTCTTTGTTAATAGGTACTGGAACTTTTCTTTTATTGTCCAATTATTATTCTACTCAGAGCTGATGGACCGACCGCCTCATGATTATGCCGCTGCTATGGCGTTTGCCCAACATCATCACCCACCGGCTAATCTGCAACAACAACAGTTTGGCTTCCCTCCACAACATCAAGCATTTCCTCCATTTTTACCCCCACAACAACAGTTTCCTTACCATCGCCCACCACAACTCCATCCTCATGCCCCACCTCCTCACCTTCTTCACCTACAGCAGCAGCAACAGCATCATTCTACCCCTACCCCTCCATTTCCACCACATGTTCCTCCTCACCTTGCTGCATCACCCTTCCATGGCCCTTATGATTCTCCTCCGCCACCTGCCCCCCCACCACATGATCCTGATCTCCTTAAGCGTATTGATAAACTGATAGAGTATGCTGTAAAGAACGGTCCTGAGTTTGAAGCCATGATCCGCGAAAAGCAGCAAGACAATCCCGCTTATGGTTTCCTATTTGGAGGTGAAGGACATCATTACTACCGTTTCAAGCTTTGGATGTCTGCACGACCGCCTGGTGGCGCTTTTAATTTCCCTTTTCCGCCTTCTTCGATGCAAATGATGCATCCTCCGAACCCGATGATGAGCCCATCACCTTTAACTGCTCCACAGTACAATGCTTCACCAGCATCCGTTCTGGGCCCACCTCATTTACATCAGCCCACTTTCACACCCTCATATGATCAGCAACACCCTCAATCTTTTGGACGTCCTGATTATGATAATAACTCATATAGGTCTTACAAAGGTCTATCTAGACCTCTTCCGCCTGATATTGAAATGGAGCTGAATAACGTTCTGAGCAATCTTGCTGGCACTAAAGAGTCGATCAAAGGTGCCAAGAATTGGTTTATGCAGAGGTCTCCGTTAATACATACTTTGGCTGAAGCTCTTAGAGATAGGGTTCTTTCTCTGGATGATTCAGAAAGGCAACTGCATATTATTTACCTTGCTAATGACATTTTGTTTGACAGGTATGTTCTAAAGATATTGGTGTACCACAGACAGGATGAATATATTGATCACCTATGTATTTGTTTTTTAGTCCATCCTTCCCAAGTTCCTTTGCTGGAATGTTTAAATTTATGATTTATTTTTATTATCCTCTTTCCACTTTGAGAGTAGTCAAATAATCTATGATGTTTAATGTATTCCGTTTTATTAAAAAAGTTTCTTAAGACTATTCACTGAAGTTAGCATCAATATGAAAAGCTACATTAGCGCTAACTGATAGCCTGAACCGTTCTCTTTGTATTATGTTTGATTTTTAGATGGACATGCAACCAATTATACATTTCCCCATCATTCTTTTTGTATATTGCATCAATATGTAGGTTTGAAGATCACTTATTGTAGACTTATAGTGAGTTGAACGGGTGAACCTATACTAAGCTTGATTTGCATTTCCCTTTGCTAGTGTTATATATAAGTGATGGTTGAATAGTACTCCTCCATGCATAAGAAATCCATAGAAATTGCCCCTTCTCATATAAGTAGTAAAAGATTTGTCAACAAAATGTTTGTATGTGACAGTTGAGGCCATATCTAAATTATTGCCACCTTTAATGAGATGTGTTTTCTCAAAATCTCTTGCTGCAACTTTTCTCTTGGTTGATTATTATACTTGTATATGGAAAATGAAATCCAAAATGATACATCTTAGAAACAGAGGCGGCTATAATTTCTTTCTCTTGTTAACACTTAAATACTCAAAAGAAGCGTGAAGCTGTTTGATATCGTTTCCAATTGTGTCTTTTCACTTCTTGTGATACCCAGCTTGCAACGACGAATTAATCCTCATGAGCTTGACAATGAGGCCCTTGCATTTAAACCTGTTTTGGCTTCTATGCTGGCAAGGGTATACCATAATCCTCAGAATAAGGAAGAAAACCAGTCACGGTTACAAAAAATTGTGCAGTTTTGGGGCTCAAAAGAAGTTTTTGATCAGGAAACAATTCATGCATTTGAAAATGAGATGACCGGTGGCCCACCTCCAAACTCTTTTGGAGTTCCTCAACGTGACTCATCAACTCTTGCTCCTGATCTCTCTGCAGTTACAGGTATCTGCTATTGGTCTTCTCATTTAGAACTTGGAAGATTTTAAAGTGCCTTTGCTCTTCCCCATCTATAGTTTTCCGATTTGACATTACCACCAATATTTTCTATCTTGCTCTGAACCACACAGTTCATTTATACTCTACAATACTTTCCCGGCCGGTGTACATCACACCATTAGTGTAGTTCCAACTAGGGTACATTTGGAATGTAGGAATTGTCACATTATTGATTAAGAGCTACCATATTTGAAATATATAGCAGGCAAAAATTAGGCTTATTTATAGCAAAATGAAAGGTAGAAAGCAGTAAAAAAACCTGCTTTGTGTATGTGTGTGTCAGTGATTGCTTTTTGTCTCTCTCTCACACACACACATATACACACACTAACCTACAAACTTAATAATATGCAACACTTTGAACTTCAATATGCAATACAAATAATGTAAAGATGCACACTTTGAACTTCAATATGCAATACAAATAATGTAAATATGAAACTTCTATTTTTATGACTTGAATAATATGCAACACTTTGAACTTCAATATGTAATACAAATAATGTAAAGATGCACAGTTAGCATGGGAGGACTAGTTTGTATGTCATCCCACCCCTATATATATACACACATGCATACATACATACATACATACATACATAGATACATACATACATACAGAAGTATATTTGTATTTCAATGTTTATGTGTGTGATTTTGTTTATTCAGATTTATTGGTTATTTTGATTTTATGTGGGAAAGACTGCATTCCCTACTTTATCCAAGTCGATTTCAAAAAAATCCTGATTGTGCAGGCGGGACAGATCAAAGTGCAGTACAGTGGAAGCCCGATGTGCAAAGTCCACTCCTAAGTTTACAAGATCAAGACAAACATGCTCCTCATATCCCCCCCATGGCTACCCAACAGTATCATGCTACTCCTGTTCCTCTTGCATTTCCCAGTTCTATCCCCTTGCCATCTTCTCTTCCACCATCAGTTCTCCCACCGCCAAACATACCACCAAATGTGGGGGAGAAGTTACCCACGTATCCCTTGTTCCCTCCCGGTCTTATCCCTGGGATGGTTAGAAAAATGCAGATAGGCAGTGGGGTTCCTTACTCCCCTTTAAGCCCTTTGGATATCCCAACCGTTATACCACCCTCGACCATCTCTCAGTCTGAAATCCTTGAAAGGGTGTCAAAATTCTTCAGAGAGATTGACGAGGTTAACCCATCAGAAGGACCCATGAATCCATCCGATGGATATGATGATTATGAGAGAGAGCCTCCAACCCGTAAAGGAGGGGCATGTATTCCACCCCCTCCTGATCTCCAGAATCTTGATGTTCTAAGTTTGGAACCCGAGCCAAATAGATCAGCCCGACCAGGACTTGGTGCTGAACCAGACGAGGCAAGTCAATATGGTGATGTTTACAGTTCTTACAGGAATGAAAGGAGCACTAACTATCATTCATCAATGAGTGCAAAAGCTCCTTCCATCAGGTAGTTAGAGATAGTATGTGATATGATGAATATCTTTGGGTCACATTGCAAGTTGTACCAGTTTGAACTCTTGTGTATCTACAATGCAATCCGTTTTTCAATCATTTGGCACAAATGCTTGTCTCCCCACTTCATTTAGAACTTTCGACCCGCTCGTCATTGAGGCATTCACATAGATGGGCATTTCTAAAGTCAATAAGGATTTTTTTGCAAGTTCAGGGTCATTGATGAAGTATTTTTGTTAGTTTAAGGACTGAATGAGACATTTGAAAAGTCAATGGGCAACCAGTGGTCCAGAGTTTTTTAATGGAGGTTTAGTGTGTTTTTCGACCTTTGGGATTTTATGACCCAAATTTAGGCAACTAGGGGTAGTACTCGCTGTGCTTGAATGACCCAAAATAGAAATGGCTTTTTCCTGAAATATTACCAACTTGAAGTTAAATATTCCAAAATGTGATCATGTTTACAAAACGACAAAATGTGACTAATAAGGTCACATATTCGGAAAAACATGATGTCACTATAATTTTGTATGTCACTTTTGAATTTTTATGTTACTGTTATATGTCACTGCCAGATTTTTATATCACTTTTGCAATGTCACTATTGGTTTTCATGTCACTTTCAGATGTCACTGTATCGGAAAATGTGTCATTGTGTCGTTGGAAAATTTTTGGGCGACTTTCAAGATCAACATTTTCACTAGAAACCATCACCCTGTCGCATCGACATCGCCTCCATCGCGTGAGATCGTTGATACGTTCGTAATTTTCATGTTTATGTTTGTATTTTTAATTAGCTTTGATTGATTTCTACCTTGGAAATTACACACTTTTGGTGTAATAGTTTAGTTTGTTAAATACTTGTAAATTGTTTAGATTAGGTTTATTCTGAGCTAAAACAAGTCTATGATCACTCAAAGGACAGTTGGTGAACCCCAAAAGTGGAAGGAAAGTGCAAAATCACAAGACAGAATGAAGATCCTGATTTTTTTGTCTATACCCGGTCGGGTATGACTTATACTCGATCGGGTAACTTGTTGAAATTTCAAACCGGACCGGATCTGAAGACAAAGGAACATGCAGGGGAGATTTTGACCACGATCAAGTGTCTATACTCGATCGGGTACACCGACACACTCGATCAGGTATACCTTCTGATGGAGTATATGGGTCTAGACTCCAGGACCCACATACTCAGAAGAATAAGAGGCACAGCTGTCACCCAGTGGGGCCTTCGTCGGCCAGATGGCCCTCCATCGGCTAGAAAGATATCAACTCAGAACATGGTCCAAAAGCCAGCAGAATCGGGTGTCCCCGTCGGTCGGGTCTCCGTCGGCCATGGCTCCGTTGGCCAAACCCTCATCGGCCACGGAGAGTTCCTAGAATCGGACTTCACACTTAGTTACTTTTACATATTTTGTACTCAGTCCAATAGTGGCCCAATTGTAAATGGGCCTCCCAAGCTCAAGACTTGGGAGCCTAGCCCTAATTTCCTCTATAAGTACTCCTCCTAAGAATAGTTGTAGGGGTTCACAAATCATTAATATCAAGCATTTATACCACTTCTCTCTCTAGCTCTCACTTCTCTCTAGGAGTTAATACTCCATAATTTGGTGCTTTCATTGAGAGCTAGAACAATCAAGTTAGCCTCCTTCGTCACTACCAAGCACAACTAACTGATCATGGGAAGAACTAAGTTAATCCGCAACCTCTTCGGCAAAACAATCCCTAAGGCCCAAGAGGACAGGGAACATGAGGAGGACGCTACGGCCGACAAGGCTGCGGGTGGGGATGTTTTCCAGGAGGCCATCGACCTCACGAATGACCTTCGCCATCAGCTCAACGACGGTGTCCCTGATGCCCGCATCGCCCTGGAGAAGAAGCGCCCGGGGAAGGGCGACAATGCCTCGGGGCAGCTCGCTTCTCCTGCCGTTGATGTGAGTAGACTATTCTAAGAAACTTTGAAAGGACAAATTTCTAATACAAATTTCTAAAGAGGGGTACTCTAAAGTCCTAATTAATATAGCATCATCAAAATCTAATTACAATTCTTCTTTACACAGTTGAACCAACAAACTTAAGTGGCAAAAGGTACACTTTGGTTATAGTTGATGATTACTCTAGATACACATGGACCATATTCCTAAAGAAGAAAATTGAGACAGAGAAGAAGCTCCCTGAATTGATGAAACTAATCCAGAATGAGAAAAGTCTCTCAATCCAGAAAATCAAGTCAGATAGAGGTACCGAATTTCTCAACTCTATAGTGATTCAATACTGTAAAGAAAATGGAATCCATCACCAAACTTCAGCAGCAAGAACACCTCAACAAAATGGTGTTGCTGAAAGAAGGAATAGGACACTCAAGGAGGTTGGAAGAACAATTCTAGAAGCAGCTGGATTGCCCAAAAGATTTTGGGCAGAAGCAATCAATACAGTTTGCTACACCCAGAATAGAAGTCTTATTCATAAGACTTACAAAAAGACACCATATGAGCTATGGAAAGAAAGAAAACCAAATGTTAGTCATTTCCATGTGTTTGGATCCAAATGTTTCATTCTAAACAATGGAAAAGACTATCTCAAGCCATTTGATCCTAAATCTGATGAAAGGATCTTCCTGGGCTACTCAGCAACAAGCAAGGCCTTTCAGATCCTCAACAAAAGAACTCTGGTGGTAGAAGAATCAATCCATGTGGCCTTTGAAAACCACCCCACTGCTCATGAAAAGAATGAAGGTGAGCCATCTAAATCAAAGAAGGATACTGGAGAGGCTCCAAGCCGCCTTCCAAATAAAATTCAAAAAGATGATGAAACCTTGAAAACAGCAGTTGACTCATATGTCAGCCCACTGCCAACAGTTGACTCGTATGGCAGCCCACTGCCAGCAGTTGACTCAATCGGCAGCCCACGGCCAGCAGTTGCCTCCAAAGACAGGCCACTGCCAGCAGGTGACTCACCAAGGAACAACCTTCCAAGCACTCATGATATTCTTAATCACCATATTCTACCAGATGATACTGAAGAAGAAGAAGAGGAGGATGACCAACAACTTCAAACCCAAACAACCACATCTGACATTAGATGGTTGAACAAACATCCTCCTCACCAAATCATTGGAAACATCCATGAAGGGGTTCGAACTATATCAGCACTTCAAAGCAAATTTGAAATGAGCATGATGGGAGAGTTGAACTATTTCTTGGGACTACAAGTGAAGCGAACTCCACAAGGTATCTTCATCAACCAAGCCAAATATACAAGAGATCTCATGAAGAAATTCAAGGTTGAGAACAAGTCTATCGTGAAAATTCCCATGAATACATCCCAAGGTCTAAGTGAGGATTAAGACGGCAAAGATGTTGATCCTACACTCTATAGAGGTTTGACTGGTTCCTTGTTATATCTTACCACTAGTAGGCCAGATATATCCTACTCAGTTGGTGTATGTGCAAGGTTTCAATCAAAGCCTAAAGAAAGCCATCTCCTAGCTGCAAAGAAAATATTGAGGTATCTAAAAGGTAATCCTAACTCTGGATTATGGTACCCAACTAATGGAGGTTTTGAACTCTATGGATACTCAGACTCTGATTTTGCTGGATGCGAAATTGATAGAAAAAGTAGCTGAGGTACTTGTCAATTTATTGGTGGAAGACTTGTTTCATGGTTCAGCAAGAAACAAAACTCAATTGTTACTAGCACTGCAAAAGCTGAATACATAGCTGCAGGCAGTTGCTGTGCTCAAATACTATGGATGAAACAGCAATTGAAGGATTATGGAGAAGAAACAAAGGAAATTAGCATACTGTGTGATAACACAAATGCTATAGCTATCACTCATAATCGAGTATTTCACTCAAGAACCAAGCACATTGAGATCAGGCACCACTTTATTAGAGAACATGTTGAAAAGAAGACCATCAAGTTAGAGTACATCCCCACAGACAATCAGTTGGCTGACATCTTCACCAAGCCATTAAATGAAGCTAGATTTAACGAGCTAAGACAAGATCTTGGAATGCTAGATGATCTAGATCAAGTGAAGGAATAACCATGCACCTATTCAAGGGGAACTTGACTCAGAAATCAAGGGGGAATTCCTAGCCACCTTCTGAGGGGGAACTCTTATGAAGTACTCAGGGGTAGCCAACCGCTAAAGGCAGACTACTCAAATTCACAAGGAATGAAGCCTCAAGGTCCAAGAAAGTCAATCTCAGACTTTCAAATATAAAAGAAGTCAAAAACCAAGCAGCGGGCTCAACAAGTGACTGCCAACCAGCCCACTGCTACTCTCTATGAAAGGAAATGGCATTAATACGTTCATAAAAAGGAAGGGAAAACGGACTAGAGAGAAAGAAGAAAGGCAAATGGAGGTAAAAACACTGGTTCACAAATTTGAGCAGGTGCCTGCCAGCAGGTGTCTGCTTCACGAGCAGGCAACTGCCTCAGGTCAGCAGTTGGCTCAATTTCTGACAAATATACATGGAATCTCAGCACATAGAATATACCATCTTGCTCCCCTCATATCAAGGATTCCAAAAAGGTACCTCTTGTTCCCATAAACCATCAAAAATCTTCTCAAAACTGAGCCCCCTGCTACCAGTGTAAACACATTTAATGCTAAAAGGAACCAGCCGTATTCTTCAACGGCTATATTCCAACGGCTAGTTCCCGATAACCTATAAATACTTCCTCCGTACAACTCCTTCACACTTTTCACTTTGCACTCTATCTCTAACCGTTTTTAAAGCTCTCAAAATCCCTCTTAACAATCTCAAAAGCTCCCTTACGCACTACCACCGCAATTCCTTTCATTCCCCATATACACACAATGGCTTCCCTCATTCAAATCGTAAAATCCATCTTCACCGGCTCCATCCTAAACACCCCTAAAATCCTTGAAAAAACAAAGAACACTGATCTCATGAAGGAGCTCCTAAGGAAGCTAGAAACCACGGGGCTTATGAAGATGGCTACCTACCAATACCCCTGCTTCTGTCCCGAAACAGTAGCAGAGTTCTACATCAACTCAACCTCTGGCACACTAAAGTCAGTAGTTCTGGAAACTCAAGTGGAAATTCAAGAAGAAGAAATCAGGGATCTGCTCTCTCTACATGGAGATGAAGCCCCAGATGTAGATGACATCACCCTTGAAGAGGAAGGCTTCAAAGAAATTGTGTTCCTTCCAAAGGCTCAACACCTCAACACACTCAAGGTGAAGCAAAATCTGATGGTTCAAGAATACTCTCTTTTTCTGGACATCCTTTACAAGTGCATTGACAACAGAACCACCACCCTAGATGAAATCAATGCACAAAGGGCACCCGCACTGGCCGCAATAATCTCCGGGTCCCCACACAACTGGTCCAGGTATGTGTACAAAGAGCTTGTAAGATATGTAATTAAATCTTACAAGGATAGAAGGGATGATGGAACCCTTCCAGTGTTTGGATATGAGTTCCTAATTAGAGAAATCCTCAAGAAGAAGGGGATAGTGAGAGAAACTAAGGAAGCCACCAACTGGAGGAAATTCCTCCATCAGACCTCCAAGTCAGGAGCACCAACAATCTCAACGGCAGAGGACTCTTTTCGCTCCAATGAACCACTAATGATCTCTTTCAAAGTCAACACCAAGACTGCAAAAAGACTACGATTTGGGTGCAAAGAGTCCAAATCAAAGAAACCAAGGACAACAACAAGAAATCTACAAGAAGAAATGGAAGAGGCAGCCTCATCCTTACAAATAGCTCATGTAGAAACAGTGGTCTCCCCTCTACAAGTCATCCAAGAAGATGAAGAGTCTCCCCTCTAACGCAAGCAACAACTCTGTCGTCCCTCTTTCAGTACTCATCCCAAAGTTAACACATCACGGAGAGGAGCAGCCCACTAAAACAGGAGAGCATGCGGCTTCCCTAGAAGCAGTACAGGCAACTCAAATCTATGAGTAGGCGGCTCAAGTAGATGAGCAGGTGGCTCCTCCATCTCCAGCAGATAACTCACTTACTCCCCTTGAGCAGTTGGATGCTGAATTCGCCAGAGTCAAAGCTTGGAGGAATTGGAAGCTCTCACGCATACTCAAGCAAACTGAGACCTTCTCCAACTACATCGAAGAGGAAGATTTTGATCTGGAGTGGCTAGGCACTAAAGACCTTGCAGTTGCAACAAAACTCCACTACATCAACCAAATCTACAACAGCAAGAGGAGCCAGCTGCTAGGCAAGTCATCCATCCAAAGTGATGACTCAGATGATCTGGATGATGATGATGCTCCCCAGGGACCTCCTAGCAAACAAAGAGGTAAACAAATTCTTACCTCCTCCTCCTCTAGTGATAAAGAAACCAGGAGAGTTATGGAAAAATCCAGGATGGAAACCCAAGGAGGAGGAGAATCCTCTAAGACCCCTCAAGAGCAGTTGGCTGCCACCTTAGAGCAGGGGACTCAACTCCTTGATCTCAACTTGAAGCCTCAGCAAGAAGATGCCCCAGAGAAGCAGCCTACAACATCAAATGAAATAAGGGAGCAAATATTCAATGAAGGTGCAAAGGACTTGCGATTTGAAGAAGTTCACAAAAA